CCCCCCCCCCCCCCCCAGAAATCACGGTCAAGTTTTTAAAAATCACATATAATCACCTTATTTTGCGAATTAGCGCCCCATCAGCACCCCCATCAGCACCCCCATTTCAAAACTTCTAGATACGCCACTGAGTAGGCCCTCCCCAACTTCAACTTCGGATTGTTTTTAATGACGATCTGTTAAAACCGACAATCAGCAGACGGCGTCGGCGTTCACATCATGGAGCAGAATTGGATTGAAGCGGTCGTACGACTGTCACGCGGCACAGTGAATGCCCAGCATAATATCTGGAGCATGCTTCTTAACCAACAATTTATAATTCTGCTTTAGAAAATTCATCTACTCACTCAGAATGAATTTTTTATTTTAAATGTTACTAGCTTCCGATGTTATGTCTCAGTATTATTGCTGCTATGCCTCTAGTAGTGAAGAACTTTGCCAAATGTACTACGAACGCCGGCCTGCAGCATCTTGCCAGTTTTACAGACCTCCACGGTGGTGTAAGTAATATAATAAACTTTATAACGATTAGGCTTAAATGCTTTATTGCATTTCGTCATATGAACATTATGTTTATTGAATCTCATTTCCTTGAGTAATTTAATGAGTTAACTCACCAACACTATTTTTCACAAAGACTTCGTAGTCAGTATTTAGTAGAGGAATGACTAGTATGACAGCATTAATGTTGCTTTATTTGCTTCTGAAGCTTGGTTCTGGGGCGATCCTCACATATCCACTATCGACGGATACCAGTATACATTTAACGGTAAAGGAGAATACATGTGCACCGATATCAACGACGGAACGTTTCAGTTGCAATGCCGTATGTCAGATCCTATTTCTGAAGCAGATGCAGATGCGACCATCTTCAGTGCATTTGTTGGGAGACACACTGGAGAAAGTGCCACTTATGTAAGTGTTTGTATAGAAAATCCCAATTACCAAAGGGCATTCTCTATTGACGCCAACATAGCTGGGGACCTCCTTGGGGTCCCCTGTGTGCATGTCATGACCATGTACAGGGGTGCGAAGTATTTAGAGTAATTTACCATAGAAACAGCATATTGTACGTACTATGATTTCTATATTTGGGTTTGTAACAGATGATGCTTAAGAATCCCCACCAGAAGCCCCAGCTATCGTCTGCAGACGGACAATAATCATTGTAAATGGAATGGTCTGTTTAATGAAGTAACATGTGGAAGCGGTTTGGCGCAGTGGAATGGTTTGGTTTCTCAACCTCGAGGTCGGGGTTTCAATCCCTCGCTGTGCATTTCGCTTGTGTCCTTGGGCAGGACACTTATATCTGCATTGCTTCTCTTCACCCAGGAGTATAAATGGGAGCCTGGTGGGGTTACCTACTCCTGCGCTGATTACGAGCAGCAACACTTAGCATGTGGACCCAATGTCAAGAAGATGCCTGAAAATTGTTGAAAAAAACTGCATAAATGACCCAGGTTTTACAAAAAGTACAGAAAGAGCGGTGTACAGCCAGAGTACATGATGATTAATATTACTATATAATAGTGTCATTTCCAGCCATCTAGAGGTACTTTGATTCCATTGATGTCGACTCCCGACTGTCACCCCACATTTCAAAACATATCTGCGCCCATGATAAATGCTTGAAATGATCTATTTGAAATTATCTACATCATTATTATTATTTATTAATCTTATTGTAGGTTCAATTCACCTTAAGTGATAACGGGACTGACATCAGTGTTCTTGTTAATGGAACTGAAGCAATATCACTCGATACACTGAGGAACGGTAAGAATAGATTATGTTATAAACACCATTGGTTCTTACATTGGTGATTTTCATCTCATCGAATGGTTCTGGCTCAGGTTTCATTGATTAAGCTGGGCACTCCCTCCACCCGACAGTCATCGGGTGAGTACCCAGCTTGACGATCAAGAATTGTATTAAGGTATTTATGACTGAATGGAATTTGAAGGCTCATTTGACGGTATCAACAGTAAAAATACAGTGCATTTGTTACTGGATTTGTTCAACATTTGTTTTATGAAGACAAAAAGAGATAATTGAACGAA